GCTGCTGCTCTCCCAGTGCTGCACTCTCCTGAGTGCGCCACGGGCTCGGCCCAGACACCATATTTTTAAAGAATGGAAATTGCATGTTGACTACGTACACTTCCATAATCCCAGATGGAATTCCAGGGGTTGTCTCCATTGTTGTTGTCAATATTGGCCACGTTGTGTTCATTGTTGACACTCACTGTCTGCTGCCCACTTCCAGCACTGTTGTCATCATCGCTGACATTGATATTCTGAAGTTATAAAGAATTGAGAATGACTTAATAATGCATTTCTTTGCAAATTCATTTTGGTAACAAACTTTAAAAAGTGAGACTTACATAGTCAGCAATAGCAGGAGCTAGGAAGACTCCAAGAAGTCCAGCAAAGACAATCTGAAATGACAAATAACACTGGCTTACTGTTACAAGGCAAAATGATGTCCTCTTCTTTCTTCCTCTATCCAAGCTTATGAAAAATATTTACTGATTTTACTAATGTGTAAGTGGTCTGTGTTTTCTTGTTCTTTAACCTTGTATTTTTTAACCATAGAAAATGTTAATCATAATATAGAATTTTTTTTTTCCTGACTGGTAAAGGGAGCGCAACCCTTGGCACGGTGTTGACTGTACCATGCTCAGCCAGTGAGTGCACCTTCCACCCCTATATAGGATCCGAACCCGCGGCCTTGGCGCTACCAGCGCTGCACTCTCCCCAGTGAGCCACGGGGCCGGCCCATAGTATAGAATTGTTGATTAATTTTAAGTAATTATATTAATGTGATTTATAGTTTTAGAATTTTAATGTGGGTCTTATGAAAAACTGATGAAGAATACATTTTAAAATGAATAGAATACATAGTATGAAAATAGTCATGATGTAAGTTCTAAAAATCACATCTGAAAGTGACTTAAGTTAATTTTCCTATTTGATCTGGGATGCTTTCTTCCTAATAGCATATGTACTCTTTTTATTTAAAAAAAGGAGCGCCGCCGCGCTTCCCAAGCGGCGCACTATCCAGTGCGCCACCGGGCCGGCCCCGCATATGTACTCTTTTTATTTAAAAAAATTTTTTAAAGCGATGGATTAGTAGGTAGGTTGTACGCTGATGATGAGAGACCAAGGATAGGGTGTCTGGCTGTTAGGTGTGGTTAACAGAAGGAAAGTCAATAACAGAGTCTCAGGATACTTGGTTTAGTAATTTGTCAGTGGATACATGACACTGGTTCTCAGAACATAGAGCTTTATGCAGGTGCCCCATTCTGGGTACCTAGTCTCATTTCCTTTGCATGGGACAAAATAGTTTTAGAACTTGACTGGAGAGTCAACGTAAATAAAAAAAATTT